ATTTCTTCACTTTTTCTAAATCCTAAATTGATTTCAAAGTCAGTTACCAAAATACTTAATTATAAAAGCTGAGATTTATCCTCACTATTAAGTTCTCTTGATCAAAATCCTCTTGATATCAGGGATCAAGTTCAGAGTTAACATCATGTAACAAAAAACCAGTATTTTCCTTAGGCTGAAGAACATTAGTTTTATGCAATGAATCATAATCATTTGGTCTTTCCCTTGTAGTAGTATCAATGATAATGTTTGACCTTTCTATTACTTGAGTGTTTATATCAGCAGCTACTATCGGAGTACTTGGTTTTAATACTTGAGTACCTAACTTAAATGTTAATTAGAAATATAGATGAGAGACAAAACCCTTTAATAACAGTCAAAACTTAGACGAAACTATATTAAAATCATAATAAGAGATACGACAAAATCCATTCGATACGATGAAAGCTAAAACTGTCAAAACTATATTAAAAACATAGAAAAGGGTATGATGAAATTATTTTGAGAAGGTTTCAACAGACATCTATAATTAGAAATTTAAAAATTGCTGAGAAGAGCTATCAACCATTTGAGTATATGGTAACTTTGGAACTAAAGGTCTGTATTTTTGTAAGTTTAGGTTATTTTTATAGCTTTGAGAACCTTGAAAACCATTAGCGTCAACTTGGTGAGAAGACATTTTGACAATTTTTGACGAGAAAATTTTTGTTTCTCATGCTTCTGGTTGGTTGACGTGATGCGTTATTTTTTTGAACTAAAAAAACGCCAATTTTTTTGTTTTTAAAGTTTAGAATTAGTTCACGTCATACAAAAAGATCAGTTCAACCAAATTTAACAAAAACTGAATGAAAAAACTGACTGACTGGAAATGAACAGGCCTACTGTTTGCCATAAGTTATACATTTCCTTATTTAGGTCAATTCATTTTGAAAGATAGATTCCTTTGTCATATAAGATTCCTAACACATACTTTAGCCTTTTCTTAATGGTGATTTCTCCTTGTTGTTGAAGATCTACTGGTTTAATTGGCTGATTTTTACTGAAAATCTTTTCATCAGTTAGTGGATCCTTCTATTTTACTTTCTTATATTCGCATCGTGCTACTATTTTTTTAACGATCTTATTATAATTTGTACATATAATATGACTATGATGGTCATATTCTTCACAACTGGAGTGATCATATTTGTTTTCATATAGTCTTCTGAATCATATTTTTGAATTTATTCCTTTACATACATAAGGTACTTCTATTAAACTTGCTTTTGTTTTTATTTCACCTTGACTATTCTCTTTTGCTTCTTCCTTTTCTTTCGTTTTTAGAGGTTTTAGTTTGTTTGTACACTCATCCCTAAGAGGTGCGACTTCTAGTTTAAATGCTGTTGATTATTATAATTATTATTACTATTATTATTATAGTTATTATTATTATTATTATTTCTATATTTCCTATTTCTGCTATTACTGCAGTTACGATTTCTGTTATTATCAGTATGATTTTATAGGTTTTAATCTCTATTATTATTTGTACTCCTGCAATCTCTGGTAAAATGGCCATACTTCTCACAGTTAAAGCATTCAATATTTGATTGATCATTATTCATACGTCGATTACTTCTACAATCTCTAGACAAGTGTCCAAATTTTTCACAATTAAAACATTTGCATAGCCATTGTTGTGGCTATTACTGCTACTGTTATTGTTGTTGTTGTTACCTAATGTTTACCATAATCGCTTGTAATCCTTTATTTAGTTTGTGATTAATAGTGCTCTCAATATCTGATTGCTGTGTAATATATGTAGATTGCATTGCTATACTTATACAAGCTGGTACCATTCCTCCTTGTAATAATTGCATATAATTAGGTATTAATGAATAGGCAGATAGTTCCATTCTAATGGAATATGCAGATTTTACTGCTCTGGCCTTTTCAATTACTTGATCTACTGTCGTCAGCATTGCTGTTTACACTGGTATCATAAATTCTAGTCGCAACTCTTCAATAAATTCAGCAACTCTATCCATCTCGGCTCACCTATACCGTGAGTCAACTTGCTTCCATAATTCTCCTATTGCTGCTGCATATCCCTCAATTGTTTCGCCTAGTTTTTGCTTTCTATGTCTAAGCTAATGTTTCCATTGATTTTGTCAAAATGCATTGCAGAAATGTTGTTCAAATAATGATACAAAAGAAGTATCAGGATTGATCCTACTATTCCAGTTGGTAACATATTGTTGTTGGAACTATATTAGTGCTGTTCCTATTAAATAACTAGGAACTATTTCAACTATTCGAGTGGTATTAATATAGTTTGCCTTACAAGCTCATTTGAAAGTCTCAAGCCACTCTACTGGATCCTGATTTTCTCCTCTAAATATTGGCAAATTTACTAATCATTGTTTTCTCATTTGTTATCCTTGAAGCCATCCTGCTAGCCTTGTATGACTTGAAAGTAAGCATTGTCATTGTTTTCTCCTACTGGTATTATAACTGGTTAAGATGTAAGTATTGGTTGAGAGGTGTTTGTATTATTTGACAGTTGACTGTTAGGTATTAACTGAGAAGTTATTATGCTAGTTGATTGGGAATTGCCTCTCAGGAGTTTGATAGTGACCGCATATTATATGGTTAGGCTACTGTTGTTGATTGTGAGATTCCTTTGGTAGTTGCATTTTGATGTCCCATTGTATTATTTTCTCTGCTATTTGAGTTACTTCTAAACTAACGGTTATTTACTGGTTGCCAATTTGCAGTTGTAAAACTAGAGGTTGTAGATGAGTTGCTATTTTGAAAAGGATCAAGTGATGCCAAGAAATTAAATATACGACTATATTGAGTTGCTTAAGAAAAATTGTAAGGATTTGCCAATAATAATCCACTATCTGTATTTTCTACTGATGGAGTTGTTATCCTTAAATTTGTTAGCCTTGACGATAAATTATTAGATAATATTGAGAATACTAATTGTTGAACATTTTCTACCCTAACAAGGGATGGAGACCTCCTATCATTACTTGTATTAAATGTAACTTTTCGAGGTATTCTATTTGGGGTTTCTTCCTCTTTCTAGTTCATTTGCATTGTCAAAGAAAGACATTTCCTGTAATGTTTCGTCATCATTATTAACATATTCAAATAGAATATTTTGTTCATAATCAGGGGTATATGTGTCATTTTCTTCTTCATCATATTGCCTCCTATCTTCTAGGTATAGTTGTCATGATTGTATATAAGATGGTATGTTAAATGATAGTTGGAGTATGGGTGTGGTAGTTCCTGATGGTGATTTATTCATTGCTACTGGCAGTGTCATCTCTGGGAAGCTTTTATTACTTCCCTGAAAAGGTGCTATGATAGTATCATTTTGATCTCTTTCCATATTTTCTGAAGTATCACTACAATTGCTATTTGTAATTGAATCGGTATTGCTAATACTTTCAATTTCCTACGATTGAAACTATTATGTTTTTACCCAAATTTGATATGATTTATCAGTAACACTATCAAAGGATTCCTTTAGTATATTGTCCTTATATCTAATTGTAGTAACAATTTTTTTTAATAAATATTTCAATAAGCGGTCTTTTTTCAAAAAGCTAGCCTCACTCTTTTGGACCCTTATAAAATATACTACAGTAAAGGTAATGTATGATACAATGTTATATTTAGGTACAATCCATAGAAACCAAAAATTATCAAAAGATGGTAGCTTTTCTGATTGAGTTTTGTAGTCTAGATGATACTATAGGCAGGATTGATTTAAATGGATAATAAATGAGATTTTATAATTCTCAAGTTCCTTATGAGCAGCTATGTGTTGTTGGACAGTTAGTAAATATTGTTCTTCAATAATATGATCAGTGCTAGATTCCTTCAGATTTATTAAAATTTGTTGTCAAAATAGTCATCATTAAATATTAATTTGTCCCACGTGGCCTTAATCTTATGAAATTTGATAAAATGTTTTAGGTCGTTAATGTTGCTTTGTAAATATTTAAGGTGATTAATTGAAATAACTTCTTCGTTCTTTAATGATTTATACTGAAATTGAATCTCAGTGACCCGTAGCTAAAGTTGAAGAAAAATAGGTCCTACAGCTACTGTTAATTGTCTAAGTATCCTTCACATATGTTTGATTTGTCAAATTGGTTTTTAATCTACCTAATCTACACCAAATTGTTATTTTACAATATTAACAACTGAAAATTAGTATTAACGCAAGATTAATAAAGGAATTTAGCTTTTATTAAATACTTTTTAAGGAGAGCTCTGAAGGGTTTACAAATAATTATTACTTCAAACGATAATGTATATTTAGAATAAATTTTAGAATTTTATTAAGGAATAAAAAATTCGATACAATTATATTTGTTATTATTAGTATTTATCTTATTAGTAATAAAAACTAATTGAATTCTAATTGTTTACAAATTATTATCTCTTGTTATCTACTATTGTTTATTACTACTCAAAGTTGTCTGCCTTAATCAAGTCCTAAAACTATCCTATTTATATTAAATTTGCTAATATAAATAAATAAAATACTAATTAATTATAAATAATAAATGATTAATAATACAAAATAATTAATAATATAATAGAATTTTCTGGCGACTTCTGGATTTTCACGTAATCTTTGTTTAATTCATTTCTCTCATCTTCACCATCTTTGTGATGCAGTCAATATACCTTTTGGTCACGTATGTCATATGATCTTATCTTCCTATAACAATATAATAATTGATATTATCAAAAATAAGATTGCAATTTCAGTTATACTGTAGTGTGATATGTTTGAGTAGATTTAATTTAATTTAATAAATTTATTTATTTATTTTAAATTTTATTTCAAATTTCATTCCTAAACGTTACTATTAATTAATTATTTATCCTTATAGATCTAATTTGTTTTCAACAAATTAATCTTTCACTAATCCTTAATTAGTCTTGGGTATTTAGTTCTTGCTGCCTCTGTCAGGCTGAAATTATTATTATATTAATTAATTAATTGTTACAGAAATTACCTGAATAGTTGTCTGAATGAATTTATTATTTATTCAATTAATTACTATTAAAATTATGCGGAGTTTTTGTTATAACTTGTATTTTTTTATTATTAACAACTAAGCGAAAGGAGAACGAAGCAAAGAAGAAAAGAAACGAACCACCCACCTTGCACCTTAGATCCAGCCAAAGAGCCTAAAGATAAAAAAAAAAAAGAAATTGGTTAATTAACAACCAAGCGAAAGGAGAACGAAGCAAAGAAGAAAAGAAACGAACCACCCACCTTACACCTTAGATCTAGCTGAAGTGTCAAAAAATAAAAAAAAAAAAAAAAAAGTGTCGAAACAATGAATAAAATAATAATAAACTATAGATAAACTATAAATGTAATAGATGTAATAAAATAAATACATTAATACCAGTATTTAATTACATAATCGCATGTAAGCACACCTCTATACAATTACACCATATGGCGATCCCGAAAGGTGTGATTGTAGAGAGGGTCGACTGTATGCGTTTTATTTTTCGTAATAAAATCTATCCAGTTTAAAATCACATGATATCGTTTAGTTAAAAATTCAAATTTTATAAATCACATGATGTAGGTTTATACACACGTGTACGAATAGTAATTGCCTAATAGTTTATAATATAAAAGATATACTTTAAAAATTTTTTATCACAATCCTTGTGAATTTATCCTTATAGTGGTGAATTTATTTAAAGATAAATAATCATCTTTTTTATATGAATTTAATATGTGATGATCATTTTGAAAATCAACCAATTAGGTTTAAGCTTACTATGTTAACTAAAATATAATATATTTCAAGTATTACCAACCCTTTTCTGATCTTTAATCTGTGAAAGATAACCTATTCATTTAGCTTACCCTAAATTATATAGTATGTAGTTAATTTATTTTTGTATCAAATTTTATTTTTCTTATTATTAATAACTTTTATTTAGATACAAAAAAAATAGACAAAATAGTATTTTTAATAGTATGCAGATGCTAACTTTTAGAGATAGTTTTTTAAGTTTTGGTTATGTATTGGAGCTATTTAAATTATAAAATTCTGCTCTTTATCATACAGATATTTTAAATGTTGATAAATAAGATAATAAAGCTGCTTATCAGCTTTTTTCTTACGAATTTTTATATAAAGTATCTTAAACTTTAAATTCTGATTCTAAAATCAAAGGGTTATTGGTTTATTTATTTATTATTAGTAAATTAATTTTAAATTTTATATATTCAATATTTTAACTTATGATTAAAAAATTATTAATATATTATTTTATTATTTCTAATAGGAGAATTAATTAATTCATATTTTAATCGAAATGTTTCTAATCATAAAAAAATCAATTCAAAATGTAATAAATAAATATAAAGAGTTTTTTCAAATAATCACAACTTTTTAGCGCATTAAACTTATGAAATATTATCTTTTCTTATTGATATCATAGTATCATATGAATTTTAATTTTTTATAATTAATTTTACAAATTATAAATAATAACAATAATAATAATAATTCTATTATTTTAAATTTTACTTATTATAACATACTGAGAATATTACAATTCAATGCTATTATTACCTTAGATACATAGTAGTAAAGTATATAAACATTTTTTTAAAATAGTATAATAACATTTACCATAATTTATATATGCTGATTTAATATATCTAATCCCTAAAATTTATCATGTTATAAATGTATATTATAATTTTACAGTTATCATTCCAAATTCTGAATATAAAATTTCTTAAATTAGTTAGTCTATTTAATAATTTAATTTCTAATTTATTTATAAAAAATTTTAATAGGTTATATTTGTGATTACTTTAAAGGAAATATTAATATTTAATTTAAATTTAAAAATTTGGCCTATAGATGATGAAATTAAAGTTCTTATTAATGATGCATATAAAGAAGCAAATACTTTAGCAAAATATGTTTTTATAGAAATTACATAATTATTATCATCTCAAATTGATTCTTTAACAAATGATTTAATACTAATTGAAGAAAATTCATTAGATGAATTTTAGGATGAAGAGAAAATTTTAATAGTGATTGCTAAAATGATAAAAAATATAGCAAGTTTGAATTTACAAGATGATACAGATGAAGATTTAATAAATGCTTGTGAATTAATAATAAATTTATTTAATAATACATATTTACAACAAATTTGTGATAATAATCTTGATATATTAGATGATAATGGTGATATAATTTTTGATTTACTATATCAACGCTAAAATATTACAAGGCTTATATGTCAAAAAAATGGTCTGATCATGATTTTAAGAAAGGGTTATAATTTATCAAAAATTAATCTGTCTATTGCTAGCAAAATAGTTACACAGATTACTAATAATAGTAATAATTTAAGATTATCTAAAGCATGATTAGAATAATAGAATATTAGAAAAAGATTTGAAAATGTTAATCAAATATTAGAAAATTCATAAGAATTATAATTGCTAAATCATAATAAATATAATTAACTTTATTAATCTTTATTAATAATTATTAAATAATTATTAAATATTTTATTGTAACTTTAGATTATATTCCTTCATTTGTATGGCAAATATTTCTTCAATTTATTTTTTACAAAAGGAAAAATTTGCATTAATATTAATTAATAAGAAAATATGTCTTAACAAATACTTGCAGTTTATTATCATATATCAATTAAAAACAACCATTTATATATTGAAGAATCTGTAAATGATGTTTATCTACTAAGGTATTTAGAAATTGCAGTATAATTTGTTTTATTCAAAATGTAATAAAGGATATGAATATTTTGTCATTTATTATCAAAATTAATACTTTATTATTTGGGATATCAAGTAGAAAGGTCATATACAAATATGTATTCATTACAATCTAATGCATATCAGATTTATCTAATGATAATATTTTATCTTATATTTTATGTTGTCTTAATCTAAATAAATAAAATAATTTTTTACTAATCTGATATGTAAAAACCTGAGTAAATTTTGAATTTTTTACATGTAATATGTATAAAAATGTGTATAAAATTGGAAAATTTTTGGGGTAGAATTTTTTAAATTGTATCATTTTTTTTCCTCCTACATCCTATATAATTATCCAGGATTCTATGATAATTAGATCATGAATATTAGATTGTATTCAGGTTTTGAGATAATAGTCATAACCTCATCTAAGTGGTATACTATACTTTAATCTAATTAGATTAAAGCATAATATATCACTTTAAGAAAATTACATTTATTAGTAACTTTTAACATTTTTAATTTTTTTGTATTATTAGAAAAAAAAACATTGTAAAAAATCTAAATTTAAATTTACTGTAAAGTTGAAAATTTTGTATATACTTTATTATATATCTTAATAAATCATGTTAAAAATGATATAATTTTTACGACATTTTACCGTCAACAAAAGCAGATGCTTAAATTGATTTTTCACGTGAAAAAGAATCTTAATTTTTTGAATCATATGTTTGTTAAAAGAAGTAGTTTTGCCAATTTTGCCAACTTATAGATAGATGTTCCGTTTTGATAGTATGCGAAAATTTTCATTTAGCTCGTAAATTCGATATGTTTAAAGACAACAGAATTTTTAATCGAATCTTTTTTCATCTCTTGCATTGCAAGATTTTTCAACATAAACTTGAATAACTTTTCTTAAATTCGTTATAAATCCAGTATCATTATCAACTAGTTGTATTAATTCAATGAAATGTGATGCCTCTTTTGTTGATATAAAATGCAATGTTACTGTTTCACTCGTGCATGGATTTATTGGGCTAAATTAGAATTTATTTAGAATTTATTATAAGCAAAATTTTTTTTCGAAATGATGCTCATCAACTTACCTAACTCTGACATTATTATCTAAGCAAATTAAATCGGAATCAGGGGTTTCGAATTCAAAATGTTTTCTTAAAAATTCTGTTTCATCCATGAACGGATTTTTTAAAGGTTTTATATCTTTAACTAAAGTCATATTCGTTTCTGTATTTAACAAAGTTTTATTTGATAGTTGCGATTGACTTTTTAGTGACCTATAAGATAAAATAGTCGAGACTTTAAATTTTAATTTAAATTGATATTTTAGGTTGAGGATTAATTTAACTCACTTTTCATTAGATCGTTTTTTGTTTGGAATCATTATAGTAAAACTTCTAGTATGGCTCGATTTATTTACTATAGATGCATTAACGATAAATATTTTACCTACCACAGGGTTACCGTCAACTAAGGAAAAAATAAATTAATATTTTAAAAACAAAATTTATTTTATCCTCCGTGTTACTACTTACCTACAAAGGATACAACAACGTCATCACAAAAATCCATATTCTTGCTCCGTTTTTGTAAAATTGGTAATCTTCCATTAGATAGAATTCCATTAATTCCATCAACATCAGAAGAGAAATTTTTTGAAATAGACGAATCATCCATAATTCTGTGAAAGCTATGAGGAGTATTAGGTAAATTAATTGAATTTCTTGTACATAAAGTTGATGGAGTTTTCATTCCTCCAAAATAAGATAAAGCCATTAAATCATCACGAATTGGTAAATCTAATGTGCAGTTCCATTTTGATTCTATACACTTTGATTTAACTCCGTCAATCATGGGACATCCTTTTATTGTTATTGAAAGGGATCTTGGTCTATTTTCGATTTGTGACGCATTTAATGAATGAATTGGTGTTGGAGGATCGTCTAAAATTGTTATACTATACAAGAAAGTTACTTGATCCACTGGTTGTAATGATATTGGATACTTATCCTAAAAAAGGAAACGAAAAAGATATAGGCGTCATTTGGCGCTGTTTAACAAACAATCGCGTGAGAATATTATACTTTACATTGAAGGTATATCTGGTGACAAAACCATGGGTAACTTCAACTTTTACATCTTCAATAGTGAAAGCACTATTGTTTTCAATATTGTTTTCTAATTCAATAGACATCATTAGGGAATTTTCCAATGGCGAGATGCTTGTAGTTCTCATACGAACATTTAATGCTGGTTTTACCGTAAGCACTTTACGAGAGCACCTTTTAATTGGTGTTGAAGGTAATGCTGAATAAATGCTTGTTCGTTTTGTTGACGTTAGTTGAGACGCTGAAATCAAACATGACGCATTCAACGATTCAAATGCAGGATCTAAAGTTAAGAAAGGAAGGATTAATTGATTTCCCTTTTTCTGGGACCAAATCTGAGTTTTACTTTTTTTTTTTTTTTTTTGAATATTTACCATCATTTAAGCCTTCTAGCAAGTTTATTCCGAAATTTTCCATGGAATACAAATCTGAATCTCTAGAAACCGGGATTTGTGTAACAGTGATGTTTAATGCAATCGCGGGACTTTGAACACCCGATTTTGCAAAAGCTTCAAAAAATAAATAAATAAATTGGAGAACTTTATAAAATTTTTTTTTTTCCCTTAAATATTACTTACCCACAGGAAAAGATAAAGGCAAAACGCAAATCCAACAATCATTTCTTTCAACCACCACCATTTTATTATTATTATTTTTCTTTGAATTGTATTGAGCAGAATAAATAATAATTCCATCGGTAATTTTACCAGAAATTCTTTTATCACACGTAGAATTTGTACTGTAAATACTAATAGGAGTACCAGGTATAGAAGGAGATGTAGCATCTGAATTTGATCTCGATCTTATATCATATCCACTAATAGAGGATAATGGTGAAGGATCACGATATTCTAATTGCGATAAATAATTTGTTGTACCAGTTAAGGTTGTTTCTAACGTAACGTCGAGTTTTTTAAAGAAATTAATTGCTTCATTTTTATTCACGAGATTTGATTCGGGAGGTAGAGTTATTATCAGATAAAAATGAAGGATTTCATCTATAAAAAGTGTTACACAGAAAAATATAAATAAAATAAATTTTTTTTTATAAAAAAAAAAAAAAAAAAAAAAAAAAAATAATTTACCATAATAAGTTTGAGTTCTTTGTTGAGCGTAAAAGAGATCATCAATATTTTCTTCATTGCATTTTGATATATCATTTGGTACGACGATTTCCAATTCAGCATCATGAATAAAAGTTTCTCTTGAGAACATCATTTGAAAAAAAAACAAAGTTAAAAATTCTGTGCGTATACATACACACATATATATATAAAAAAAAATATATATATATTTGAGAATTTCTGTTTTATTTATCAACATCACGATCATTTTTTTTAGTATAAATAACTTACATAAAAAATTTACACGTGCAACAATGGAAACAGGTAGTTATTTCTATTTTATTTTTATTAACAAGAACTCATTTAGATTTAGTATTACATTTATATACTAAAAATCCATGTTACAATAAAACGATCATATAAGGAAGACAAAATAAGGATATATGTGGAATGAAAAACTTTTTCAACTCAAAGATCTCTCATAAGGATAAAAAGGTAAAGAATGAAATCATCGTTGGCGTAGAATTAACGGCGGGTGATTGATCTGCTTTATCGATTTTTCATTTATGGAGAAATTACTTAAGGGTCTATTTATTGTGTATTTCGACCATTTAGTGGTTTTGATTTTCAGTTGATTATATAAAAATTCTTGTGTTCGTTTCGTTACCGCTGTTCGTAATGCCGATTAGCTTAGCATATAATGACGGGAGAAATCTTATTTAGCATCGGTTATTTTCAATTTTGACCTTTTTTTTTAGCTTTCCGTTTGGGAGTATTCTTAAGGAAAAGATTGAATGAATACGAAAAAGATTTAAGATAAATAAATAGATAAATAGATAGATTAATAAGTTTCCTTTTGGATATATTTGCCTCCTAATTGGCATTCTTATTTTCTTTTGCATAGTACATTACAGGCATCATTCGAAAGTATCAATGGCGCTCCCTTTTCAATTAAAAATATTTTTAAAATTATATTTCGGATTCCACGTTTTATTATTTAAACTTTACATCATGTGTAATGGTCTATAGCCACGTTTGGTAAATTGGGGCATCATTTCTCAAAAATGTATTAAGATATTCGTAATTTCATAAAATTTATTTTATAAATAAAATGCAGTACAAGATATTCAATGCATAAAAAGTTCTTTACAAGCAAGAATCGATTAATTTGATTGATTATTCATTGGAGGTTGTCTAAATCCGACAGAAGGATTATAAGGCAATGGTGGAGGTCTTACCAATGCCATTGCTTGTATACCGGGATGGGGTCTTATCTGAGGTAATCCAATTCCGTGAAGATTGTTTATTTGTGTCTGTGTACTTTGCCTGAGATTTATTTTATTTATTTTTGATTTCAAGTTTAAAAAAAAAAAAAAAAAAAAAATTTTTTTTTTGTTAATCAAGCTATTCTCAACTTCAAAAATACAAAAAATTAATCGATTCGTTCCTTATTTATTTAATTTTTTTTTTTCCTTACTTGTTTAGTTTAGCTTTTTGAATCTTAAAATGATTAGATAAAACTTCAGACATAATCTGATTATAACAAGTATAATCATTAGGATTCGCCAAAACGTCTTTAAATCCTTTAGAGTTACAAACAGCTTCAAAATTTTCAGCCATAAATGAAAGGATAGGTTCTTTTAAATCTTCATATTTTGGTACTAAACGAAACATGATTTCTGCCGCATTATCTATAGTTAATTCTTCAAATATTCTGTTCTTTGCTCTTTGGCACAAATCCGTTAATAAATATCGATCTGCTATACAATAGATTTCTATCGTGAAAGAAATATTATTTTCTACGATGTTATTGTTGTTGGAAGTGGCCCAGTCGATATGATTTGTGTAAAGGTATGATAACATTTTTGCAAAAGATAATGGTTTATAATCTGATATATTAATTCGATGTTTAATTTGATACTTTAATTTTTCTTCCTTTGATTCAGAATCACTTTTCCTCTCATTCACATGATTAAAATCTTCATCAGATTCATCAGATACTAGAATCGTTTTATTATCAACTTCACTTTGACGATCAACCGATGATTCAGCCCATATACCCGATAGAGCATTTTCAAAATATTTTGATCGTTGAATAAGTATTGAACTACAAGCATAAAAATTTTCTCCCTGTACATTAAATTCCACATCAACAGGTTGAATATTGAATAAATGATTCTTCCATGCTTCTACCAGATTTTCTGGAAGTGGATCAAGTGAAACATTATTATTATATTGTTTATTATCTTTATATTCGAAATTATCAAATGTTACACTAATGATTAACTCTCCATTATAAATTGAGGTTCGTTCGAATGCCTCCGGATAACCATAACCTAAAATAAAAAAAAATTTTATTTATTTATTTTATTTATTTATTTTATTTATTTATTTTATTTTTTACTTTTTTATTTTTACAAAATGATAATTTTAAACAAACCGTTTTCGATTTTAGTGTCAGGGGAGATGGATAACTCATTATTACTTGAAATTAAATTATAAGTTTGAAAATTTTTAATTTCCTTGACAAATAATTTAATAGAATATTTTGACCGTTTTCTCCAAGAAGTTTCATCTGGATTTGCCACTGGTAATATATATATTGAACAATATTCTTTATTATTCACCGGATTTTTATTTAATGGAACAAACCATAATTGCCATAACATATTATCTCCTGTACTAAATATGGGACTATATATATCTTCCTTTATTTCAAGTGAATTTGATATATTCATTTGGTAGGTTAATTGCGTTATTTTATTACCAGTCATTTTTCTTTTTTCTTTTCTTCGTTTTTTTTTAAAGGAAATTTAAAGAAAATTTGAAAGAAAATTTGGACTGATTACACTTTTATAACCAATGGTCGTGTAACGCTTTAATATTTATAGATTCTCACAGTCACAGTTTTTTTTTTTTTGCTGCGTCAATTAATTACCTCATGATTCACTTTTTTGGGGGGGAGAATACAAATTTTTTAAAAGAACAAATCCAAAAAAGGAACTTCAATAAATTTTATAACCTTTATTTCGGAATTTATTGAAGATTACAATTTCAAACTAAAGTAATGACAATGCTAATGGATTAATATTTATATAACCTAGTTGGCGAAACAAAGTTCCGAATGATCATCAAACAACATAAATTATAAAAACTTTTCTATATATTTGAACGCACGATCAATCGAAGATTTTCAATCGAAATCAAAGGTCAAGTGATTCATTTGTTAATTAATATTGTTATTTTACTTTGCTTTAGTATACTTGTCCTGAAATGATCATGTAATTTGTTCTCATGCAAAATTTTTTTTACTCTCAAGATTTTAATTTTTTTTTCGTTAAAGTTAATATACGTATCTAAATTTATTATTAACTGTAAAATGCTATAAAGTATTTGATGGTCAAATTATTACCCAAACATAGCGTATTCTTTGTCATCCATAAGCACATATTATTGTAACACAAGATTTTAATTTTACTTTTATTTTATTAAATTAACAACTTTTTAGATAGAATAATAATCTAATCTCAGAAAAAAAAGGGTCGATGGGACATTTTAAGAAATGTACAAGAAAATCGCGTGTTTTAAAGAAACAACAATGAAATCTATTTTGTGAAAAAAATTTCTTTTATTTATATTTATATTTTTTTTTTTTTTGATACAGGAAATGTCTGAAACCCCGATTCCAGACATTTTCCGTAAGTGAGGTTCATGTAATGAATCATATGAGCAAAAGCACTCGTATGAATTTTTTTATTGATTTTCATATTCATTAAATTGAAATTATTGCTTTTCTGGGCGTAAAGGAGGAAAGGCATGGGGAATATACCTTCCTTCCTTATTTTATGGTAGATTATTCTGCGAAATAGTTTTTCAGCCGTATAAACAAGAGCTTCAACATAAATTTGATGGCAAAGTGGACGTGTACGAGTCAACGGAATGAGACTTTTAATAAATTTCTTTTTATTGAAAATATGTGAGAAGAACGAAGAGAACTGAAGGTATTTGATATATAAATAAGAAATATCTTTTTATTTTGATTGGTTTGCGCAGTTATTTATTTATCATTTGTGAAAAAGTCGCAATTTATTTATGAAAATCACTTTTATTCCATCAAACCAAAGAAAAGTAGAGGTTTATATAGCTTTTGACTGATGATACTTAAAAAAAGAATTTATTGATATTATTCATTCATTGTTCAAAGACTTTATCATTTGCTTTTTTGATTGAAAAGAAAAAAATAAGTATGTATAAATAAGTAAAATGTTTGGCAAAAGAATGTGAAAAACTTGAAATAATTTCACGTTAAATGAAAGTATTATTTGTTCTATTTGATATTTTGTCACGATTTTTTTTTTTTTTTAATCTTTCTTTATTAAATTCCCCCGATTTAAGAACATCTGATCAAAGTTTGGCGGATAAAATCTAATCTATTTTAATTGAGACGCCAATTATTATGATCATTCAAAAAGTTTCATAAAACTCTTTTTTTATTAATGAATTACCTTTTATATAATAAATTATAATAAAATGCTCACAATGTCATTATAAAAAAAATATCAGAGAAAATATTATTAATAATTAACAAAAAAAAAATAATATTTTTATATTTAAGCGAGATGATATCCTTGTATATTAACGCAATCGACCTGAAATTTTGGCTTTTAATATGATTATAGGTTTACTTAATCAATCAATAAAATTTTAAAACTGAAAAAATCGATGTTTAATTATAACTGAAAGTTTGCATTCAATGAATTATATTTAATGCGGAATTTTTACTTGTAATATAAAATGTAATTTTAAACTTTGTAGATGATTATTTCTATTTTAAGGTGACCGGTGACTTTACTTGTCCTTAAATTGAAATAGCGAGCGCGAACAATGAACTATGTAATGTGAATTCAACTACGAACGAAATGCAAATAATTTCAGTACACGTAAGTCTAGAAAGAATATTTACGCGTATCGCGTGTATAAAAATTAACGCTTTACTGAGTGTATAATTAAAAGTTTTCTATTAAGATTCAGTTTGAACTTTATAATTATGTTTTAAATCGCCGGAGGATAAACCTTATAATTGAACTCGGAATTAATAAAGAGAATGTAAAATTTGGGCAAATCATTTACGCCGACCCAAACGTTGATCATCAGATCATCATGCATGTCATATAATTTGAAAAAAAAAAAAAAAAAAATATATCAATTATGGATTTAAGTGCGTCGGAAGAAGTTCAAGTTAGTCATCTTAATTCTATTCTTCGAAAAGTGAATTCCAAGGAAGAAAATTTTAACGAAACATTTGTCAAATCACCAGAATACCTTAAGCTCTTATCACAATTTGGTAGTAGTAACTCTCGTAAGATCACTTCATTATCATTATTAATATTAACAAAATTATTAGAAAATAATCAATCAAGAGAATTAAAGGAAATCACAACGAAACAAATAGTAAAATGGATAAGCGAATCAACAAAGCAACAAGAAAAATTAAATGGTATTAAAGCGTTATCAGCGATATTTAATATCGGGAGAAATGATATAGGAAATTGTTGTTTAAATAAAGATGATGATGAAGGAGGAACCTTAAAAGATTTAATGGAATTTATTGAATATGATAAAGAAGTGGTGCAAGAATCAATTGTAGAAATGTTATCAATAGCATGTTCACAAAAACAATGTAGAGATTTAATTAAATTAAATTGTCAAGAATATTTAAGTAAATTAATGAAAAGTAAAAATTTAAAATTTAAAAGTTTAGCGGCTATTACATTAACAAAATTAATGCTGGATGATAAAATGGTTTTACCTGGTGAAGAGAATCAAGAAAAGAACGAAAAGATTGTTGGTGAAGGAGATGATGAAAATGAATTGGCAGGATTATTTCAAAATTTGGTATTAGATACAGGATCAGATGTTGACGTTAGGACCAATGCTATTGAAGGATTGGCTTACGCTAGTTTAAAACCTACGGTTAAAGAAATGATTGCATATCATCCTACTTTACTAAAAGAAATTTTTAAGCTCGTTAAAGAACATGAAAAATCAAATAATAATTTATTATATGGAGTGGCCGTGATATTATCAAACATCACATCATATAAGAGGAAGTTAAGTATAAATGATCAACATTTATTAAAATTACAGAAAATGGCTGATGGTGGAGTTAGGAAAGGTGAAAAACTTGAAGAACTTGAAACAAATCCTTTGGATGAGGATGAATACGTTGAGAATCGAATCAAACAGATAATGAAATTAGGAGTTATTCAATCTTTAATTTTATTATCAAGAAATCAAAGTCAAATCATACGTCAATTAGTTTCAAAGAATTTTTTGAACCTAGCGACGGATCAGATGAATCGTGGTAAGATCGTACAACAAGGAGGGGTTAAAACTTTAATCCCTTTGGCCACTAAAGATGGTAATACAAAAGAAGGAATGAATTTCTCCACTCAAGCTTTAGCTAAAATTGCTATTACGATGGATCCAAATTTGGCATTTAGAGGTGAACGATCTTCGGATCTTGTTCGTCCTTTGCTCAATTTATGTCAAGGAGATGATGAATTAAGTCAATTCGAATCGTTGATGGCGTTAACTAATTTAGGTAGTGTGGATAATGATATTAGGATGCGAATTTATGATTCAAAGGGAATTCCAATCATTGAGAATTTACAATTTTCAGAAAATACCTTGGTACGTAGAGCGGCAACAGAGTGTTTATGTAATATGATGTTTTGTGAACCCGTATTTGAATTGTATAGTAATGTTAATAAAATTACTATTCTGGTTGCTTTATCTGATGTTGATGATTTTGAAACGAGAAGAGCTGCTTCGGGTGCTCTGGCCATTCTCTCAACCGATCCTAATGTTTGTAAAATGATTTTGGATCGACCAAATGGAATTCAAATCCTTAAAGATTTATTTAATGAAAACTCTCCTGAAATTCAACATAGGGCTATTGAATGTTTTAAAAATATTGTCAGTTCGGATAAAGACAAGGCGGAATTATTGGTTAAAGCTGAAGTGCACAAACGTATGTTAGAATTGGTTAAAGAAAGTAAGGTGGAATCGGTGGTAGTCACGTGCGCGGAAACATTAAAAATTCTCGCCAACTACGATTTATTAAAAATTTAATCTTTGTAATTTTTTAAACGAACAAATTTTACAATAAAACAATTTTATTATTTAACTTGAAATTTATAAAGCCGATAGTTTTTTTTTTTTTTTTGCGCGCGCGAATAGGATCATATGCGTCCCTTATTAGTAAATTTTGATTTATATGTTTCAATATGATTTGTTTTTTAGCAAATTTAACATTAACTCCAAAAAAAAAAAAAGATTTTTTTTTTTTTGCTCCTTTCTACTGCATCTATACCCGCAATTTTATTTCAGAAGAACTTTGACGATAGCAAAATACAATTAATTATAAAGAACTCTCATCAAATCAAAAGTTTTGGCTCCATATCTTCGTAAATCAATAATATGATTGATTTTAAATTGCATAAAAACGCGTTTTATTATTAAAACATTTTAATAAATTTTATGTCACGTATTAATTTATTTAACGTGATCTTAATTTTAGTTCGTTGAAAAGTACATTTTCACATCAGAGATTAATTAATTAAATCGACGATTTGAGAAAAGGAGAGAAATGAAAAAACCGAAACCGGTTCGGGAAAAAAACACTGTTGCGAATACATTAATTTGAAAAAGATGCTGTTATGAAATGTTGTAGAAATAATTTGTCGTAAATGTCTATTTTTAAATTGTTGAGCTTTTAATTTAACACGGCTGAAATTGACATGATGTCATACTTTTTCGTATTTTTGTGAAATTCTTGGCTGCTAAATCAGTAAAATAGCGTTATTTAAAAATTATCGATATCTTAAAAAATTTCTTTTATGAAATTTCTTTGTACCTTGCATTTTTAATTGCTAAATCAGCAAGTTGGTCCAATGCCGTGCCGTGGTAAAAAGTTTTTTCCGGTAACGATACAGGCGTATAGGTTGATGTCAATAGGGAAACTTGTTCTTGAGTCATTGAAAGTTCAAAGAAAGTCGAACCATTTGAGCAAGCGTTCCAAGCCAGAGTTTTAGGAATATCTATATGATTTCTGTAATAATCCGTTTGTTGCTCGGTGTCTTTATGATGATCAAATTGATCAAATGATATTTTCACTTTGCCCGGCTTTTTAAACTGCGCTATTTCTATAAAATTTTTAATCAACGTGATAATATTAATAAATTACCTTTTCTTATTCTAATCGAAAATGAAATTAATTAATTTTAATTACCGTATTTTGAAACTTTAAAAGAATTAATTGCTTTAATTCGCTTTCTTGACCTTGGAGAACAACATGAACTATTTTCTGAGTCAGAAACCATTCGATCACGTTTTTTTGACAAGGAAGAATAATAACGATTTTTGATTAGATTGGCTGGTCGTCGTAACAATTGGCTCATCATTGCCCATTTTGTTCCCATTTCAGAGTAGTAGGTCAATATTTGTTCGTCTTCTTCGGGAGTTAGGGGTCCGTAAATTACTTTAATCGTGTAATTAAATAAATGCAAGAAATTTAATTACTATGCAGAAATTCGATCGAAAGGAAACCGAGTTTCTCTTACATTCTGGGTTGAGATGATTATGCCACCTTTTAATTTAGGAAGATGCACGAAATTAATACAATTCGGTGAATGGAGGAGGCATGGATTAAATTTTAAAAATAAAGATACCGTTCTCGACATTGTTTTCCATCTCTTATTCCGTGTCTGATTCCAATTAACTTCCAATGTTTCACACCCAATTCTGCTACAATCGCCAATAATCGCTCATCCTCCTGTAAAAGAAAAAAAAAAACGCTGTCATCGCTTTTTCTATCACACTATTTTTACAACATTACCTCTATCCACCAAAGACTTATTCAAAATCAACTTATTAGACCTTACATTCAAAATTTATATCAGACAACTGCAAACCCAGGAATGGTTATACATCAATCCTCTGGTACGTTGGTCATACAATACCCAAAGGTTTAAAGATGACTGGCTCCTGGCTCTGCTTAGTATCCTTAACAAACTAAACATTAATCTTAGCGTTCCGTTAAGCTCAAATAATCTGATATCTGGAGGTACCACCCCGATTTCAGACCTCATCACGTCTATCTATAGAAATCACGTCTAAGATCTCAGAAAATGCTCAGTTCTTTATGCTGAACAGTTAGTCAATTGTGCTGGTAATTACATGTTCTCTTACAAAGACCTTATTCACATTACGCACCAACATACAAGGTTCGTTAGAACCCCAAATGGTTTACTATCATGAAACATTACTTATAACCATCACCAGATAGATTCATTACCAGAATATTTCTGCATAACCTAATGTATGACTACACACTGAAGCAACAACATCTTACTCCTGGTTATAGATTGTACGTGGTGGGTTGGATATTCAATCTCAATAGTTTTGTCATTGGATGCATTACCCATGCTGACTAAAATACTTTGCATCTTATACATTATAATTTTGAAAAAGCAACCGATCACAGTACTAAATTGATCCCATGTTTCCGCTGTTTCCTGCATAATCAAAATGCACCTCTAACAAACAGATCATGCTGCTGAGTCAGTATCCCTCGTGTATATTGTGCAGCCTTTCACAATATTTATTATGAAAGTTTCAGTTTCATAGCGCTATCCGTTGATGCTCTGAATGAACTAGCTTTGACTTGTGCATTGCATCCTCTCAGCCCCATATCTTAAATGTACTGCCCTCTGTTCCTCTCCCTATATATAGCTCTTGTATAGATAGATTTATTCCTTCTCCTCACAAAGAAAAACTACTAACACTTTCCTCTAATTTTGTTTCTGCTACTGAGTTAGAATTTTACACTGACGGATCTCTTAAAGACGTCAGTCTCCCTTCAATCAAAATGGGGATTGCTTGGTTACAATCCTACCAAAATTCGCCTATGGCTTCCTTTAGCATTGCTTTAGCCTTCAGCTTTCCGTTATCATCAATACCTGAATTTGCAGCCCTCTTTATAGCACTCCTGATTGCTCTTCCAAATTGCAAAGTCAGAGTCTATACTGACTCAGCTATTATCATATCACAGTTCAACAAATTTAGTTTCCTTAAGAAATAGTCTCCCACCTTCAGACCTTTTCTGAAAATCAACAATTTTGTATATTGGTCTTGTCTTTTCAAAGTAATCTCTGTGCACAACCTTGACATCTATTTAATAAAAGTCAAAGTACATTCAAACAATCTTTTAAACAACAAGGTAGACGCTATGGTAAAAGACGCTCTCACTCTTTTCATTTTACACCTTAATACGATGGTTACTCCACAAAGCTTCTTTAATTATAACAACCAGCTTATTCTTCTTCCAGTTAGACAATTTGTAAAGGACATCTTCCGATACAAGCATCTTCAGCAAATTTTATCCTTGCATGTAATCAACAAATATCACTCTTTCTTCAAAATCAATTAGTTCATTACCTCTTTCTGCTTCAATAATAATATCGCTATCAATCACACATCATATGTAGCCTCTAGTACAAGAATGAAAAAATTCCAATGGTTGCTGGAAATGCTTCTTACAGTTGAAATTCTGAAAATTAGACATCCGTCCTTTTTCCCGCCCTCAGCTCTATGCTCCTGATGTGAGGCTGCGAACGAGAACTTCTTCTATATATAGACCTGTCTGATGATCGACTATTAAATGAAACTGCTCATTCAACGAGTTAAAAACTACCTTAGAGTCATTACTAATGTACATTCGAATGATATTGATAATTTTAATTGGTGGAACCTCTCAACATCCTTTTTCTTTGTGGTTCTCATTAAAGGCATTGTTCCTACTTCCCTCTTTAAATTTATTCATAAAAACCTTTCACACATGCCTACAGCTTTAGCTGCATGTTTATCCCTCATACACTTCATTTATGAAGAATCACAACATTTTTGGATTGAAAGGTGTATCCATCAATCTGCCATCGAGAAAGCTGTCAACATTAACCTTCAAGATATAAAGGACAATTTCACCTCTTTAGGTTTTGATCTTCCTCGTGATATTCTTACCAATAATAATAACGTTGATCTAATAAACATCATAGTGCAACTAGAATCCCACTGGACGAATTTTTGATGCAGTAGTGACTAAGCCTTCTCCTGTTTTTTTTCGATTAAATACTCAGAAGTGATAGTTTTAGCTTAGGTTAGAATTGATCTGGGAGAGTGCAGAATCAGTCTTCTATAGTCTAATTTTGCTTTTCTGTATGAGATTTTTACTTTTTCTTCTTGATTTGTATTTTACTCTATATCATACTTTTATCATAATAAAGATTATGTGAAACTACCGCACTTTAAAAAAAAAAAAATATTTAATATAAATAATAATATAATAAACAATTATTAATTTATTTAATCAACTTTGTTATTTCTAATTTAACAATAATAAATTATTCAAGAAGAATGATTGGTTAACATGAATTTTTATCAGTTAAGATCGGATCAGTTCAACTTGTTGACCTGACCTGACATCAACCTAAAAATCTATTGATCCAACCTAAATTTTCAGATCAGTTCAGGTCAGGTAAACAGATCGACCTAATCTGATTCAGAGCTCTAGCCACAATCTTATTTAATATTTTTCTGCTATCTTTTTTAGTATAGTGCAGATCATCTATAAATAGAAATAAAATTGACTGATTTTAAAATCCTAAAACTTTTGTTTTATATGCTATAAAGAAAAGTTTATTCACAATAATTATAGAGTGAACAATGAAGAATAAAAGTTATAATTTCAAGTATTTAATTGATTAGAAAGTTTTTGAGTTTTAGGCGATTGAAAATTATGATTTTCTTATAAAGTGTTCAAATTTCAGATATTGATCTTATTATATGGCATTGACTTTACCCAATAAAATTTAATTACGTGAAAATTACCTAATGAAATATATGTAATACGATATAATACAAATCAATTAGTCAATTTTTTTTTAAAAAAATTTTCTTCTTCAAGCATGCCCTGACTTACAAAAAAAAAGCTGCAGTAAAAAACAAAAATCGCAATAAGAAATGAAAATTTAGCACAAAAACTAAGTAGGTTTATTAAATTATTTAATGTATTTATAAGAAAAGATACATTTATTTAAATTAATATTTATTTTTTAGAGCTGAGAATAATGCAGAAATGAACATATTAGAAGAATAATTAAAGATGGATTTGGATAATACTTTTAGCGAAAGAGATTAGAAAAATGATGAGATAAGTGATTGGGAAAATGATATTGATTTAGAAGCGGAATAAGATATATAGAATAGACTTTTGAAGGTGGATTTTAGATTGAAGTAGAGACTGGATGCCAAATTAGAAAAAGAAAAATGCAGTTCTTATAAAGTAAGTAAAATACCAAAGTCAACTTATTATAACAAATAGGAACCTAGTAGCTCATAGACAAAAGTAGCAAAGGAAACCCAAAAGTTAGAGAGATTTTTTAGCCAGCAAGATGGATCAATGCAAGAAAGTTTTCAAGATATTTTATCAGATAAAGAAGAAGTTTCTGTGTTTATCTGGTTATTAGAAGATATGGTTTTAAATTTAGAGAGAGATTTAAAAAAAAATTTTAACAGAATGTTAGCAAAAGAATATATATTGTATGCATTATGAGAATATTTAATATGTTTAATTGTAAGAATAATTTTATGAATAATAAAATTTTTATTTAAGAAAGAACAAGTAACATCTAAAAATCTCAGTCTATTTCTATCAGTCTATATATCAGTAGTTAAACTAGCTAAAATTACATTATCTTCAATAAATTTTTGAATTAAGAGAAGTATATGATTATAAGCAATTTGAATGGTTTGCTTAATTAATTTAATATTTGAAATATCAAAAGATTCTGATTGTGTAATATTTAAAGATTAAGTATCAAAAATTATCTAACTAATTAATAAATTATAAAGTTCAATTTGATAAGCTCCTTATATAATATAACTCTTAACTCATGAGATTCTTGAGACTAAAAATATATTAAATAATTAATTAATACTAAATTATTAAATTTAAATAAATAAATTACTATTTATTAATTTATTTCTTATCACATAGTTTTGCTTAATTATTTTTTTAGTTATTTGATGCTTACTACTTAAATGGTTTATTAAGATGTTTATTAAACTTTTAAGTTAATATTTTCTACTATATATTTTATTTGTGATAACCTCTACTTAACAGTTAGTAATTCCATCATTAGATATAAACTAATCCCAAAATCAACTTCTTTTTTTGTAAACCTCTTCTTATTTTGAATTTTATTTGAATTATTTTGATTATTTCAATAGAACTTGAATCCATTTTTATAAATTTATTAAAAATTTATTATAAAAACGTGAAACTTTTTACAAAAAAAAAATAATTAAAAAAAAAGTGTGTGCATATGTAAAAAAAAAAAAGTATGTATAAAATTAAAAAAAAGGAGTATATGTAACAAATATTATTATAAAATAACTAATCTTTTTAAAGTTAGATAAAACAAACTTTATATAAAAATTTATAGAATATTTTAATTAAGTTGTTATTTTTTGTTTTACAAACACAGATCTATCCTTTTTTAATTAACTATTTAAAGTTTATGTAAATTTTATGTCAAAATCAAAAAAATATTTATCGTATCATTCTTAAATCAAAAAAAAGTGAAATTTATTTATTCTTTTTATAATATAAGTCGAAATCACAGTTTAAGGAGATATTTTCTAAAGAAAAGAAGTAAAAGAAATGTTAACAAAAAAAAAATAAAGAAACAAAAACAATCCTTTACACTAACTTACCTTTATAACGCAAGCTAAAATCCAGATACAGGAAGGCATTCCCTAAAGAAAGAAGTAAAAGGAATGTTATAGTATTCCAAAGATAAAGAAAAATAAAAAACTCATAAGAAAAGAAGCAAAAGGAATGTTAATAATATTCTAAAGATAAAGAAATAAAACAATCCTTCACACCACTTTAGCTTTATAGTCCAAGCTGAAATCTAAGTCTAGGAAGACATCCTCTAAAGAAAGAAGCAAAAGGAATTTTAATAGTATTCTAAAGATAAAGAAGAAAAAAAACAATTTTTCACACTACCTTACCTTCATAACTCAAGCCAAAATCCAGATTCAGAAAGGCATTTCTTAAAGTAAAAAAGTAAAAAGAATATTAATAGCATTTTAAAAGTAAAGAAAAACAAAAAAAATCTATAAAAAGAGAATATTAATGGTATTCTAAAGACAAAGAAAATCAAAAACAATTCTTCACATTAACTTATCATCATATTTAAGCTAAAATCCAGTACAAAAAGGCATTTTCTAAAGAATAGAAGTAAAAGAAATATTAATGATGTTTTCAATGACAAAGAAAAAATAATAACACTAACTTATTTTCATAGCCCAGCTAAAATCTAGGTCCAAAAAGACATTCTCTAAAGAAAAGAAATAAAATAAAAGTTAGTAATATTTATAAGATAAAAAAAGAAAGAATTTTACACTTACTATTGAATTCAAGCTATCCAAGTCAAAATTTCAATTATTTCAAAATAAAAGGTCTAAAAGAAAGGAAAAAAAAAGAGGGAGTGAGTGAGTGAGAGTAAGAGTGAATATGTAAGTGATATAATATGTAGATTTAATATTATCATTATTAAAAAAAAATTAAAAAAATAAAATAAAAAATAAATAAAAAAATTTATGCTTATTAAAGTCGAATTGACTGGATTTTTGGTAATTATCTATTTAATTTGTTCACCAGATATCCAATAATTTATTTGACCAATTTAGTGATATAAATAGATCAATCTATATCTAATCAAATTTTAGATAAATAATCAAATATTTGAATTGATCAAATTCAGAGCTTTGATTTAATGATGATTGAGATGCAATTATATATTTCACGAGCAATTTATGTTGTAAAGAAATATATTAGATTTTATGATAACTATTGAAAGTATACACAATCTCTTGAATCGTAAATTCAGAAATTGATGAAATGTGGCTGTCATTATTTTTGATCTATACATAAATATGATGAATTATGTTCTGAACATTGATTATTTTTCTTAAATCTTCTAACCATAGCTCATTATTTATTTGTGACCTTTGATATCTTTCATTACTTTTTAAAATATCAAGTAGCTTATTAAATTTTCTTGTAAACTGTATATGAAGCTATTGATTAGAAATGAACATGTCAGTTATTATTACACTAGTGATTTTACCTATATGATTGATCACTCATCAATTTTGTAATTCTCTGTATTCTATACAATTACTAGTATTAAATATAACTTTATAAAAGGATTAGATATAATATATATACAAGGTTATAAATACATATAAATAAAGTAAGTTAATTCATTCTTTTCATTATTTATTATGATTGACATTTCGCCAAACAATGGAGATTCTTTTCATAAATTCTTATGCTATATTTCAACTTTGGCATCAACATCAGGTTGTTGATTATGTGATGAATATGACCTTTAATCAAAAATGAATATATTTCTTTAAGTAGTAAAGTCTTTGATAATGTGTTTCTTAAGTCAATTGTAATGAATTTTTTGGTAATAGTTAATAAGGGTAATTCTCTATGAATCTTTTTCAAAGTTGTAATATTATAAGGAATTTGCTTAGTTTTAAAATCCAGATGTCATATAATTTTAACAAGTTCTTGATATGCATGCGATCCTATAATATTATAGTTGTAAATTATGATAATTAATAAGAATTTGAGCAAGTAAATTAAAATTTCATACATTACCTATTCCATTTTTTGTAAACTATATAATATCTATATGGCAGTAAGACTTGAAAAGTAAGATTCACATCATCTGTATATCTTGGTAATTCAGTATTATTATCATAAAAATGACAATTACCATCTGCATTATATGTAAAATTATTATTATTATCATTGTTTGACCAATTATCATCTGAGCTATCATCATCTAAGCTATTATCAGCCAGGTTAATACTAGAACTTTTATTATTAGAATTATCGTCAACTATGTTAACATTTGTATTATCATTATTATTATTCAGATAACTATCAGCTAGATCAATATTTATATCATTATTATTATCATCATTTGAAAAATTAATATTCATGTAATCATCATTGTTATTTGAGTTATTGTTAGTCAAATCAAATTATTTAAAAAAGAGTTCTCTAACATTAAACTATCATTAATATCCTTTAATATATTATTATACAATTTTTATTTGATTATTAGAATAATTACAATTATCATAATTATCATGCATATTAAGTGATGTATTTCTAATATTAGTAAAATATTTTGGGATACGTTTTTCATTGTTCATGAGATCATTGTTATAAGTTATATCAGTTTTTGTATGTATTGTACTTGAAGTTGAAGGAATAAGTAAATTAGTTCTTTTTTATAACATTACAAAAGATTTCGGCTTTCATTATAAACTGAGTAGTTTACGAAAAGTCAGATACAGTATATATTTTTGAAATTAAATCATTTTGGCATGAGAAAAATCTATTGTTTGGATTTTTTAAAATTAAAAGAATAAAGATAAAAAGATCAAAGATAAAAAAAGATCAATGATATTTATACTATATGACTTATCATATGATTGATTAATTAATCCTATATAAAGAATATTTTTAAATTGATTAATAATCTATTATTGATATACTTTCTATCTTTTTAAGGTATTCCATCCCAATAATAATAAAAAAAGGTACCTGTTTAAAGCCTAAAATTCTTAATAATATCAAGTCTTTTGCTAAATATTATAATACTATTTCAAATTGAAGTTCTAAAGGTCAAAGCTCTAATAGTCAAACTGTACAAGAATCAAATCTTAAATACTATAAAATGAAAGTGTTAAATATTGAAAAATTAGTACCGAATGTTGAAAAATTAGATATACTTAGTTTAGCTTTTATTAATACAATATATATAACACAAAAGTAGAGGTAATTTTAATTGTTTTTATTAATATAAAAGAAAATGTTGATGTGGTGGAACCTGAAACTGTATTTAGTAAAAATATAATGATCAATCTATTTTAAATGAAGATAACGAAGATGATGATTCTCTTTTTAAAAATCCTGATCTAAATATGATAAAGCATGTCTTATAATATGTAATTTTAAATTGAGTAAAACAGTATCAAAAAATAAACGAATCTGATGATATTATGCAAATTCTACTCAAAGGTATCAAAAATTTGCAACGTTAATTTTATCAACTTTGCAAAATGCAAACAACTCCCAATTGAATATTTCAACAAATCAAGTATGATATTGATACTATTGTTTATAATTTTTTTATTTGCATTGTTAAAACAATTATTTTTATAGGTAAAATCAGAAATGTTGGCGACTTTAGTTAATGAAACAAAGATTATGTTTTTGAGAGTCTGTGATCCTCTATTTTCTGCATATTACATTGGCAAAAATGGTAGCCTCTGAATTTGTTGAAATTAGTTAAACAATTTCCTTTCTTAGATTAATAATATATGCTTATTATGCAGATCATTAATACTTGATTAAATACTAAATTCAGAGTATATGCTAAAGATTATATTTATAATAACAGGCAAGTTTTATTTCAATTCTTATAAATATATAACCATAAGTTGTTTAATAGATTGTTAGTTTATTAGGATTACTATAGATAGTATATCAAGTATTGATAACTTGGGTCATATATAGATGATACAGTTATTTTTTAGTCTTAAGAATTTAATGACACAAGTTAATGAAGAATGGTGAAATGAAAACCTGAATATGACTAATGTATTTAGATTGTTTATTCCAACTACCATTAGAATACATATTATTAATATTATAAAATATAATAAGAATCCACACTTTTCAAATACACCAGCTTTAAATAAAGTCAAAACTCTGATTATATAACCTGCAAACTTATTCTTTTTCATAATAATACTACAAATTTCGCTAATAAAATTGATTTGAATTCATTAAATTTTTCAATGGCAAGTCATGATCATAGTCATAGTTGTAATTGCAATTGTGATCATAGTTATAGATAATATTTCAAATGGTTCAGTTCTGTTCAGATTATAGGCCAATCCAAAACTGAACTGAAAATTTCAGATTAATCTGAAATTTTGAATTGTTTGGAATGATTATTTTCTCGTTTGTTTAGAATAATAATTTCATTATTCCAATTAAATGATCCTTTTATCATTCTTTTAGAATAATAATTTAATCATTTTAATCGAATAATTTTCTTATCGTTCATTTGAAATGATAACTCCATCGTTGCAAATGAATGATTCTTTTATTATTCTTTTAGAATGATAATTTAATCATTCCAATTGAATGATTTTCTTATCATTCATTTGAAATGATAACTTCAATCATTTCAAATGAACGATTCTTTTATCATTCTTTTAGAATGATAATTTAATTGTTCTAATTGAATGATTTTCTTATCGTTCATTTGGAATGATAATTTCATCATTCTAATTGAACGATCCTTTTATCGTTCTTTTAGAATGATAATTTAATTATTTCATTCGAATTATTTTCTTATCATTTATAATCATTCCAAATGAACGATTTTTTTATCATTCTTTTGAAATGATAATTTAATTGTTCCAATTGAATGATTCTTTTATCGTTCAAATTGAATGATCCTTTTATCTTTCTTTTAGAATGATAATTTAATTGTTTCATCAAATGATTTTCTTATCACTCATTTGGGATGATAACTTTAATCGTTTCAAATGAATGATTCTTTTATTGTTCTTTTAGAATGATAATTTAATCATCCTAATTTAATGATTTTCTTATCATTTGTTTGGAATGATAATTTTAATTATTCTAAATGAACGATAAATTTAATCATTCTAAATGATCTGAAATTTTAGATTAATCCAAAATTTTCGGTTAAATTCAGATTTTTTTCTGTTCGGATTAGATTTATAATCTGAAAAAAATCTGAACTGAACAAAAATTTTTGGATTGAATTTTTTGCAATCTGAAACCAAACTGAAGTTGATCTGAACTGAAAATTTTCGGATTAATCTGAACCATTCGGAGCTTTAGTTATGGAGGATTTGGAAAAAACATGAACTAAAACCTGATAGTTAAATATTCACATTATTTTATATTTACTATTGTAATATTATTGATTATATTATTTATAATAAAAATTAAAACTGCTAAATATTACTGATTTTCTTTATTATATTACAATACTAATTTTATTTATTATTAATAAAGCTATACAAGACAATTTTTAATAATTCGTAAATTTCACATAAAATTTCATAAAATCCTTTAAGATGTTTGTTTATATCAGTTTTAAAAATGTGAATTTATTTTATATTTTATAATATATTATTATATGTATTATATAAGCTATTTAAAATTCATTTTATATTTTATAAGACATATTATACAATTTATTAAATATATATATTATTTACTATTTATTTTATAAAACATTATTAAATACATATACAATATATTGTTAAAATTATAATGTCTTTGCACAATAAATATATAAGGCTTAAGAAAAATTTTATATTGACAGCAAAGTTACTAAAAAAATAAATTTTTAAAATAAAACAAACTTTTATATTAATATTACTTTTGAAAATTTAAATTAAATTCAGGTTGTATAATAATTAGATCAAGTCGAATCTGAGTTGAATAATTATTAAATCAAATCTAATTCAAATTCTATAATTATTAATGAGTTTGAAATTAAATATGTTTTAAACTTGATCTGAACTGTTTTTTATGAAACACTAGTATAGTATCCACATGTAACATATTTTTACATAGACATTTTAATGTATAATAAAATATAAAATTAAATTTAATTAAATGAATTTTCCATAATATTAATATTTTAAATTCAATGATCATAACAAATTAATTTTTATTGTTAAATAATAAAAAATATAGGTAAAATTTATAAATTTTACAAATATAAGTATAAACCTCTTAGTCATTTATTATATAATAGTGATTATATAGAGTTTTAGAAATTATATTCATATCCTATATATTCACCGAAGTAAATATGTAACAGATATTTTTAGAAATTTGACAACATCGAACACGTGATTTCATGTCACAATGACGAAACGAAGAAAGTGATTTAGAACTTATATTTTTGCCTACAAAAAAACTCATGCATGGTATTTATATTTTATTCGAACTGTCAGATACCTAAAAATATATATTTCATAAGATTTTTATGTCAAATATTCCGATTTTGCTAAATCTGCAAATGGATGATCCATTGCCTCAACTTCGTGTAGCTCGAAATCTATGATTGTGTTTCGATCATCTGACAAGTGCATATGCATGGCATGCTGTATTTCAATTGATCTGCAATTCCCTGCAAAGATGATTCTTTTCACTCTAAAACATCTCGAGAAGTGCATTTTGTTATCCTTCCGATATTGTTGATTTAACAGACGGACCATGTTTCTCAAAGACGAATATTACTTGGCTTAACATTTTATACGGAACTTTTTCTTCAGTAATTTTATTATATTACTATATGCAAGCAATTTATTATGTGTAACCAAATTTATAGCACGAATAAATGACGTACATATCATGCGTACCATACAATATAAAGTTATTGAACAAAAAAAATAAACAAAAACGCATATAAACATTGCGCCTAATCGTGTAACCATATGAAATTCATGATCGACATCATGCCCAAAAATAAAAAATGATTTTGTCTCTCAATTTGGCAATTGAATCGATTAGAACACGTATATAAATGGTCTCAACTCTTGAAAGTAAAATCACTCTTTCTCGTCAAATACTTCTCACCTTTCAAATATTTCTTTTTAAGAAGAAAAAAAATGTCAAAATCAATTTTTCAGGATAGGAGGTTCAAAAATGTAAATCTCCAAAACGAAGCGTTGACGCATAAAACGTACGCATACGAAAATCCGATGAGCGGAAATCATAATGAGAAGTTAGAATTCTTGGGAGATTCAGTTATATCCCTTGTAATGTCAAATTATTTGTATAATAGGTGTAAAAATGAAGGAGAACTTACGATGATTAAAGCAAAGTTAGTTTGCAAACAAACTTTGGCAGAGTTTGCGTTAGATTTAGGATTGGAAAAAAGGTTGAAACTAGGAAAAGGTGCTTTATATTCTAACGCAAGAAATAATGAAAAGATTTTAGAAGACGTTTTTGAAGCTTACATCGGTGCCGTATTTTTGGATTCTGGAGAAAATTTTCTGGAAGTAATGGAATTTATGAAACCCTTATTAGTACCAAAAGTTGAGAAACTTCTTCAGGAAAGACGGAATTTACAGGAAAATACTAATACTTCTCAATCTATTATCGGTCCTCAAGATGTATCTCTTAAGGCTTTACCTTATGAAGATCCAATTAATAAACTTCAAACGTGGTCACAGAGAAGATTCTTTGGTATACCTCAATATAAATTAGTTGAAAATAAAGAAGTTGAAAAGAAATTTCTTCAACCTCAGTTTACTTTTGAAGTTGTCATTAATAATAAGACTTACCCTCAAGGGACGGCAAAAAATAAATCGGAGGCTAAAAAATTAGCTGCCATCAACGCCCTCAATGTAATTGATGAGAACTTAAAATTGGCTAAATAATTGAATATAATCGAACGATGAATTCTTATTTTTTCACTTTTGATAATTTTATACAATTTTATTTTTTTATGTTATAAATATTGAAAGGTTATTTTTTTTACTAAAACATTTAAAAGTGAAAAAAATTAATAATAAAAAGATATATTATCAAATTTGTTATAATCGTGTTTTGGTAAATTACTAGTTTATTTACATTTAGCATCAATGTCGGTTGTTTTTTAACATTCCGAACGAAAGTCACTACAAATATTCTGTTAATTTAATACAAATAACATGTCTACCTAAATACGCGTACGTTGTTACAAGTTTCCGGGTTGGCTATGCCGATCATCTCCTCAAAATTTTCCCACCCTCGTGACATATTTAATTTACCTCATCGACATTATTATTTAAAAAGTTTCGGCCCCTTTCTATATACAAAATTTTTAATTAAAATATTTAATTTAAAACTATTATTAATGTATGGTCTGAAGCTCAATAAATCATTTTATTGAAAATAATTAAAATTAATTTTCCTTTTTAAAGTTGCTAAAAAAAGAATTTTCATTAAAAATAATTTTTGTAATAAAATATTGTATTTAAATTTCAAAATTATTTTTTTAATAAAATTAATATAACAATACCATATGGTGATTCTAATAGCAAAATCTCAAGTATTATTATAAAAAATAATATAATAATAATATATTTTAGTATTGTCTTAATAATTAATTTGACTCAATATGTAAAATTAAAAATTATTATTGGTTGTAAATATTTATTGCATATATCATTTTTTAATTATCTATTACTTAAAATCAATTTCTAATCACATAAAGTGATATTAATAGCTTTAGTTATCAAATGGCTAAGTTGTATTCTATTATGTGACTTATTATAATATTTGTTATATCATTATACCTCTGTTTCTTATTGTTAAGATTTCTTATTTGACATATTATTATCTGTATCAATATTTATTTAGCCAAAAATCTGATCAAATATAGCATCAGTTATTTAAAGTTTATTTCTATATAAATTTAGCTACATTTACGATTTTTTTTATTAAAAGTCTTGAACTTTAATATATAATTTGATAGAAATTATAAATTTTAATTAATTTATAATATTTTTAATATTTAAATATTTTTTTAATATCATTTATAAAAGAATTTATAAAATAATCAATTTTGATTTAAATAATTATAAATTAGTGATTTATAATACATTTTTAAAATTATATTTTTATTTATTAATAAATATATTTTCTGGTGATGCTAAGGTTTAATTATAAGAGATGAAAAAATTGTCTATTGTTATATAAATAAATGAATTTACTTATATAATCGTAAAATGCTTCTAATTTAATTATAACCAAATCATAATTAAATCATAACCTAAATTATATTTTAATATAATATGTATGAATACAATTGTATTTAATCCAGTTCATCCTAACCTAATCCTAATTTAATAAACAACAATACAATCTAATCCAATCCAATCATATCTCTGTATTCTAATCTGATCTTAATCCAAATAAACTTCAATTTCACTCTAACCCAATCAAACTAAACCTAAATGATCTTTAAAACTTTACCCTTTTTTTGTCACGAAGTGATCTCCTCATTATAAAAAATGTCAAAATACCTCCTCGGACGGGTCGTGAAACCGCCGATCACCTAAAATGGAAAAAACAATAAACAAAAATTGCGACGAGATATATAAAACAAACATATTGCCGAGATCTGGCGAAATCTTTATTTTAATTATTTTTTATTTTTTATTTTTTTTATTTTCATTTTGTTTCTTTCTTTTTGTTTTCATTTTTTGAAAAAAATGAAGGGCGAAAAAGCAAATAAAAAAGAAATAGTAAATAAAAAGAAAAGAAAAACGAAAAAAATAAAAAAAAAGAAATAAAAAATAAAAGAAAAAAGTTATAAAATACTAAATTCTAAACGAAAATAACAATAAATAATAAATAAAAAAAAAGAGAAAAAGAAGAAGTAAGAATGAAAAAACTAAATGAAAATAAAAAGAAAAAGAACTAAAAAAAAATACAAAATTAAAAAAAAAAAAACTGAAAAGAAAGAAAGTACTAATAAAAAATAAAGAAATAATAATAGTAAAAAAATAATAAAAAAAATAAAAGAAAAATGAACGAAACAAAAGAAAAAAAATAAAACGATAGGGGGAAATTAAAAAAATATAAAAAAAAACTAAATAAAAAGAAACGAAATTAAAAAAAAAACTAATAAAAACGAAAAAAATAAAATAAAAAAAAATATAAAACAAAGTAATATCGCACGAAAATGAAAAAAAATAAAACCAAAAAAGAAATAAAATTTAAAAAATAAAAAAAATGATAAATAAAAAAAAATAAAAAAAATAAAATAAAATAAATAAATAAATAAAAAATAAAAGGTTTATAAAAATAAAAATAAAAAAAAATCAAATGACTGGGAGGGAGAATTAAAGAATTTTTTTAAATAAAACAATATACTAAAAAAATATTATAGAAAAAAAAAAAATAAGACTCTGAAGGGGAGAAAAAATAAAAAAACCAATATATTAAATAAAAAAAATAACGATAAAAAAAGAAATCAGTAAAAATTAAAATAACGCGTGATGGGGTAAAACAAAAAAAAATAAAAAAATTAAAATAAAAAGAAAAAGACTGGGCAAAGATCGGGGATATAATAATAATATTAAAAGAATAAAAGAAAAAAGTACTAAAAAAAAGAAAAATCTGGTAAAATATTAAAGAAATAAAAGAAAAAAAGTACTAAAAAAATATATAATTTCGGGAGAGGGAAGGAAAATAATCAAAAAAAAATAATAAAAAATTGCTGTGAGGAGAAAAATTTTAAAAAAAAAATCAATAAAAAAAATACCGGGGAAAGGGAGGAATTTTTTTAAAAAATATATATTATAAAAAAAGTTAAAAATAAAAAAGACCGGAGGGGATAATTAAAAAAATATATATAAATATAAAATTAAAAAAATAAAAGGCCGAGGAGAATAAAAGAAATAAAAATATATATAAAAAATAAAAGACCGAAGGATAAAATAAAATAGAAATAATTGAAAAAAAATATATTTTTTTAATTTCAAAGTTTCGATATTCCCGTGACGAACTTTGAACGCGAATATCTCGACATACATCAGACTGAGACATATCAAATTTGATATGCAGATTCAGTAGGTTTTATCTTTCAAACAAGCTCAAAATCGTCCCAATCCAATCACATTTTTTTTAAAGTCGCAGTAATGCTTTTATTTATTAAGTATAACCATATTCAGTAAAAATATACATGAAAATCCTCTAAGGAGGTACAGAAGTAGAAAAATAAAAAAAAGCTGCCTAATAAAATAAAAAGTACAAAACCCAAATTTTACCAGACCAACCCGGTCATTCTGTTAGGCTCCAGTAATAATCACTAGTAGAATTACCATTGTCACCTAATTAAAAGATAGTAAACGTATGACAAATAGTTATTATTGCGTAAGGAAGAATGGCCAACGATGGCCATGTATGTAAGAATTTTTAATTAAAGATAAATGATCACGCTGTGGGTAGTTATAAGAAAATGGATGTTAGTAAAACTATTTCTAGAAAAATGGTTGGAGGAAGCATACACTCCCTTCTTTTTACTGTATTGTGAGTAGTGTTCCGAAAGGGTCGGGTCAACCCAGGTCATTTGACCTGACTCGTGTTTAAAATCCGAATCGAGTTTATCATTATTTGACACGAGTCCTATATTCAACCCGACCCGTCGGTTAGGTCATACCTTTGCTTGACCCGGGTTGACCCCGGGTTGACCCGGGTTTAATCAATATTTTGATGATCTTGAATTTAAAATGTTTATGTTACGTGTTTTTTAATTTCTAACTTTATTTGTGATTTGTGTATGAAAATGAGCGAGGCTGAGAAAACAACTCTTGAAAAGCGCCCTTCTCTCAGAAGTGAACTTTTTACTAGAGAACTTTTTGAAGAAAAAGAACTTCCACAAGAACACAAAAATGCAAAAACTCATCAAGTGGTTAAGTGCTTAAACTGCCCGTAAGTATTTTAGAAAAAATATAAAAATTTGCTTAAATATTCATAAACATTTTTATAAAAAAATTAATTATAAATCTAATCTCTTAAATTTTAGGGATAAAACATGGTTTCGCAAGATTGGTGATTCCAATACAACAAATCTTTGGCGTCATTTAGAACGTAATCATTCAGAGAAAAACCCCAAAAAAGCAAAGAATTTAATGGTTGAAACCCAAAGCATATTGGATGAATTTGTAAACCATACAACAATTCCATCTAAGGTATGTTAATAAATAATGGAAAGATATGAATATTAAAAATAGTTTTTTTTTTAATTTTACACAAAAAGGTTTTCGCTAGTGCTCCGTACAGGTCGGGTTAGGTCTGGTTTGAGGGGATGTTCGAACTCGACTCGAATATTCATGTAACCCGACTCGAATTTTCGGGTCGGTCAACTATGTAACCCGAACTCGACTCGACCCGACTGTAATTTGACTCGAATAACCCGGGTTAAACCGAATTTATATGAATTTTATTAAGTTCGGCAAAACAATAGTAAAATTAATTGACAAGTTACATTTTAATAATGTTTTTTATTTATTCAATTAAAATTGACCAGTCTAAATCACTTTCATGCCCACCAAGATTTCAAACACATACACGCACGAATAGTATGTGTTTTAAGGCTGCTTCTTTTTGTTGCTACTAAATCAGCTCCACCAGAAAATATTCGTTCTACTGGAACACTTGTAGCTTGAATAAAGTAGTTTATCAGTTAATGCTTAATAGTATTATTATAAATAATTGTATGCAATAAACCTATTTACCCGTAATAGCAAGATAATCTCTAGCCATTTTGGCTAAATTTGGAAATGCCATTTCGTGTGTCTAGGAATACTATATTTGTTAGCTGATAATTTAAAAATTATACAACTTATTATTGAAAATATACCTTCCACCAAAGAAGAATATCTTGCTT